TAAAACAATACAGACTAATGATTTTAGGGCAGTTTCTCACCAGGGCTGCGTCCATTGGAGGTGACAGATTGTCTTTAAGGTGACATTAAGGGTCTTTTAGACCTCTAGTGTCACCTTTCCACTTCACTGGATTCACTGAATGTAAATACAGCAGGCAGTGGCTGGGAGCAATAGCCAGCCTGCTATTGGATATTTTAAATTGCAATAGCCAATAGCATGCTGGCTATTGTACCCACCCACTGCCTGCTGTCAATCAGCAAAGGAGGGAACTGAAGACAAAGTTCTCCATCAGGTCCTCTCTGCTTATTGCCAGCAGGCAATGGGCGTGTACAATAGCCAGCATGCTATTGGCTATTGCAATTTAAAATATCCAATAGCAGGCTGGCTATTGTTACAAGTGTCCATTCCTTTTCCACTTGATGACACTGTTTGCTTTTGGTGATATATCTCAGTGTCAGCTGTCTGTGCTGCTTATGTGTTTAATAATGCCCTCACCAGAGGTACACAGAAGTTTTCACTCTTAATGAAAGAAGGCAAGGTCCATAATGTGTGAAGGCAAGATTTACAGCTTCTCTCCTCTCCTCCCCCGTAAACATACAGAACGGACATTCTCTTCTTTCAATGAGAGTGAAAACTGCTGTGTACGTCGGGTGAATGCATTACACATAAGTAGCACGGACATATCACCAAAAGCAAACAGTTTCATCAAGTTGAAAAGGAGGGGACACAGAAGGACAGAGGAGCAACAGGAGCTAAGGGGGAGGGGGGCAGCGAGGATTTCCCAGCCGTAGTCTCTTCTCCCTTCTCGTGCTGGCTACTGCGGTCTGTGAAAGGGACACAGAGCTCTGCAACCAGCACCAGCAGGGAGAAGAGACTGTCCACATAGAACACTTACCGCCCGCCATGCTGTCACACTTCCGTCCGGAGAGGTCAGAGCAGAGAGGGAGCCTGCGTTTGGCGGAGAGGTATTCCGGGGGAGGGGGAGGAGCTATGGGGGTCAATGGCCGAAGCTAGTTAAAAAAAATTTCAAGCGCTGGGATCGGCTCTATGCATCGGGGCATTTTCAGGAGTACAAGTACTCCTGAAAATGCCCTGCATCGGCCCTGATACCGATACTAGCATCGGTATCGGGACATCCCTAGTTGTGACCATGACCCGCAAGAGTGGCGTCTCTTTATTGATTCGTCAATGTTAAGCCTCAAAGCTGTTCTGTTACACAATGGCAACGTTCACCCTTCAATACTTGTTGGGTTTGCAGCACACATGAAAGAAACCTACGAGAACATAGAAATGTTGCTTAAGTACATCCAGTACAGCAAGTACAACTGGAATATCTGTGGAGATCTGAAAGGTTTCACCAGGACATTGCTCCAATGGAAAAACAATATTGGGGCAACTGGAATCCGTCGATGCTTGCTGACTACTGTTGGACACTGCTACGTGATGCACCGGACATTTAATTATGTTGAACTTAATAGGGTATTAGAAACATAAACACAATTAAATATATTATTGCCGGTAAACAGTTAACTGCCTATTTCTCAGAGTTCCTACGTGATGTAGCAAAACCAAAACTATATTTGTGCATACCCACCAGGTACCTGTCACAATCAGCAAAAACGTTTCAGGAAGCAAAACTTTTCACAAAAATTGTTGTGCAGTGTAATTCTTAGAGACTTTAGTTTAAGTTCCCAGGTCCATCCAGCTGACACAGCAATTATTGTAAAAGAGAGATCTCACTGCCATCTGCAAAGTCCGCTGGATCAAATAAGGTTTGGTCTTCACAAACATTGAAAGAGGTTGTTGGACTGGAGTTACACCGTCTCCTCTCTCATTAGGAATGTCGCCAGTCAACAAACTAGATTAGCTTTTCTAATTGGTTCCTGGATGCAGAGAACTATATTTTCTCCAAACACAGCTAAATGGAATGCAGATAATAGCAAAGTCTATATGAGACCATTGAAAATCAATTACATGTACTTTCATAGCTCTCAACTGTTCCTCACTTGGAGGGACTGTCCCTCATTTGGAACCTAATCACTCTGTCGCTCTTTCCTCCTCAGTTGTCCCTATTTTTGGTCTGATGTACATATATCTATAAAAAGGTTCTATTTAACTACCGAAAGTGTTATTCTGTACAGGAACCGTTATCTTATTCCTTAATTATCTTGCTATTTCAAGCCAGTATAAAGGAAAAGTAATGGTGAACAAAACAGTTCTGGGTTTATCAGATCATTTTGGGCAAATACGTTCCATTGCTTGAATACATTGGACTTGAAGGTATCCCTCTTTCTTGTCTTAGAAAGTTGGGAGGAATGCGTTTATATGCGCTTAGAAATGTGCTCTAAAAACAGGATTGACACTGTCAGTGAGGCCCTGGTATTGCACTTATCATACCTGACCTCATAGATACCCAAGGCTATTAAAGAAGACAAAAATGACAGTTAACCCACTCTGTGTCAGAACACTTAGAGCTGATGAATAGAAGACTAGCTCAAACAGTTCCCTTACTCTGCTAGCAGTTCAGCTGTAGGTGTTTGAGCCCACATTATCCCACCAGCAAAAACAAACAGATCAGCAACAATGAGAACCTAATTTTCGTGTACCGTGACAGGCACTAAAGCAGTTTGGAACGTTTTAATATACACAAGAACAGTCAACAACATTACGTTTGCCATGTGCTGCCTTTGGCTGCCCTTCTGCCCTAAGCCATAGTTTTTAATGGATATGCAAAAATGCAGCCCTGGTTGGCTGGCTTTTCTGATTCCTGCCAAGGGCCCTCCAACAGTCAACTCTTACAACCTGTTTTGAACCAATCAGCTCAGCACACACTTCTGCATTCATTGAACTATGTGATGCTTCCCACTGCTGCCCAGTTAATTTAAAAAGATTTTCTTTCCCCAAGTGTGAGTGAACATAGCTTCAGCATGGACATAGAATGTTTTCCTCCTATTATGTGTCTGAGATGACCTTGCATAAGACCCCATGTTGCGGGGAGACATGTCTGGGATATATTTGGCGTAAAGACCTCACTGCTTTAATTCCCAAAGGTTTTAGGGGCTAACCATTTTAAAGTGTAGCTCCACTTTTGCAGCCAAATTGGGATAACAGCTATTTTACAGTTGTTACATGTTCTCCTTCAGATAGCATGACTTAAAAATCTGCATATTAGTTGTTTTTCTCTTGTTACTAGTTTCCTTTAAAATTATGTTTTCTCTGTAATTAAAAGGGGGCTGGGAGGTTACGGTTACCATAATTAACCCTGTCTGCAACATGCTGGCAGATCTCACTATCAGTTGTAAAGTAATTTTAAACACTGTCTGTCCTAACAAAGGATTAGAGATCTAGGAGCATTGTATGTTAATGAGAGGAAGCTCATCGTGTCCCTAGTCTATTTGTGGGAACAGATTGAGTTTCTTGACTGCAAAAGTAGAAATACACTTTAAAGCCTTGGTTCTCAACTGGTGGACGTGACCCAAAAGTGGGTCGCGACCCCATGTTCAGTGGGTCGCCGCATGCCTTCCACTTTTTTAGGTGAGAGGCTCATCTGCCTCCCCCTAGCGCAGCACTGTCAGTTCTCACGCCGAGCAGCCATTCAAAATATGCTGCCTGGCGGCGAGTGTCAGCTTGAGGTAGGGTGGGCTGGAGCTATGGCTGCAAGGGAGCTCCATTCATACGTGCATTGCTTACAGCTCCCTCCTGTGTCCTGTAGAGGTACCTGGACCAGAGTGACATCACATTTTGGCTCCCGGAACCTCTACAGGGCACACAAGGGAGCTGTACAAGCAATGCACATATGGATGGCGCTCCATCACAGCACAGCAGCCCACACTGGACCCCAGGCTAGGGATCCACTCCACTTCTCATAAGGTAGGGAGTCTGGGTGGACCTTAAAAAAAATTGTCGAGTGTGTATGTGTGTGTGAGAATGTCTGTGAGTGTGGGAAATTGTGTATGTACGTTAGTGCTTTTGAGGGCCCATTTACAGTGGGTTAAACTCTACCCCGCAATCGCACCTACTACGCATTATAGTGCGGGAGACGTGCTGCGTTACCATTCATTTAACTGGAACCCCAAAGGCACCTCCCACCTACACTTCCAGAACGTGCAGTACCCTAATGCCGTACATTCCATTGCAGTGCAACTTGGGTCGCGACTTAATGACCAAGGACAAATGTGGGTCCTGAGGTTACACAAGTTGAGAACCACTGCTTTAATGTGTACCTGTGACAGCATGTTTTCTGAACTGTAGAGCAAGCTGGATGCATCACAAGTTTATTACCAGATCATTGCAGAAATGTCACCAGCACACCAGTTCTTTTAGGATAGCAAAAGCTTCATTTATTGAAGTTCTTTGTCAGGATTACCTCCCTCTAATTTCAAAACTGCAAGCCATATTGAATGCTGGATCTCGTGCCAAATGTAAATTGCTTGTCCTCTAGACTAAAAGGCAGGGCATACTTAGCACGGTGATCAAAGTGACATCACAGAGTGGTGCAGGTCCACCATTTGAAATGAAAGTGGCCATAAGGATATTAGTTTCAGATGTGTTGCATGTTGCATAGCTAATTACTGCTTTTTGTGGATGGAGGGGTTTGTTATTGTAGTTTTAAATGTTTCATCCACAGTAAAGGGAATGTGCATAAAATAAAAGCTAAAACCTATTAAAAAGGCTTTCATCATGAAGACATTGTTTTCTTCTTTGCCATATCTGTATGCAAAAAAAAAATGGTGTGAGGAAATGTCATCATTCATTATGGCAAATGCTGCCATGGCCCACGCTAAAGTGCCACATTACTTTTCTAATAAAAGAGTTTAGTCTGTTTTAACAGGTACTATATGTTATATTCTGTTTTATATATAACACTGAATTATTTACATACCATTCACAGGCCTAGCAGATCCTACAATAATGTGTCCTGGGGGAATCTCACACAAACATGGGGTAAACAGACAAATTTCAGTCAAATGATCTCGCTGGTTGGAATTAAACTGAGGACCCCAACAGGTGTTATAGCTCTGGTGATTTTTGTTTGTAGAATGATAAAGAGAGAATAATATAAATCCAGAAGATATTACATTACTATTTACAAAGTGTACAGTGATTAATGCTCCTGAAACATGAACAAGATATCCAATAGCACCAGAATATACATTGGTCCCTCAGCGAGGCACAGCCAACATCTCATAATCCCGAGGTCTGGAAGCATTGCTCTTGGGCTCCGGTGTGATGTCTATGTACTTTCTGTCCACGGTGGGTTTCAGAGTAAACCTTTGCAGTATTGTTGTAAAAAAGAGGAAGAGTTCCATGCGAGCCAAACCCTCCCCCAAACACACACGCTTTCCTGGGAAAGAAGAGAAAAAAACACATCAAGAAATGCTACTCAAAGCACATCATTTGTATAGACGTAGGTGTTATTCAAAGGGTAACTTTGTATGTTAACTTAATTGTGTGTAGAGTATGAAAATAACAAGGCCTTCATGGCTAGTTTTAAGGTTTGCCCAGTGCCTTATAATTAAAAAATGTTAAAAATAAAAATCCTTTTTCTTATGTGTTAGCTTTGTAAATTGAGCCTATATTCTGGAACACAACCGTGGTAGATAAACATTGCTGTACAGTATATCTAAAAATGATTAGCTATACATGTAATTAACTACAGCACAGTACCTGCTGAAAATGGCATGAAGGCATCACTTTTCTTAAAGGTGCCATTCTGATTAAGAAAATGTCCAGGGTCAAATTTATGAGGGTTCTTGAAATAAGTGGGGTCCTTTAGGACTGAAGTTAGGATTGGAAACACCAAAGTTCCCTAAAATGTGGAAGAATTAAATTGGTTAACTGGAAACAGAAGCAAGCAAAAGTGAAGTCAGAAAATAAGCTACCTTAACCTAAAGCTAGCTTAAGTTATCTAGTTTGGGTTATCCTGTATCTACAGTTTTCAGTGATTCTGGAATTATGTGGACATGGTTTAGTGATCAAAACTTTCCAGGTTATTTTCAGAAGCATCTATGAGCTATACTGTGCATGTCTGCTATTCCTAATCAGGTTAGGGTCATCAGGTGGGATCCAAAGTGATGCCCACTTTTAAAGTGTATGTAAACTTCAGTAGATTGAGATGTTACTGGGGTATTCTTCAGTTGCTTTTATTACATTTTAAGTTGGTTGTCTGTTGCATAGCATTGCATTTAAAATATAATTCTGTTATTATCTCTGCATACAGTTCTACATGCTATGTTTTCAATTTTTCTATTTCAAGATATATATGTTTCTGTACTTTTGAAATACAATCTGGTGGCATGTACACTTTATAGTAGGTTGTGAAGGGTCGCTATCAATTGAAGATTTCCCTTAAAATTCTGCCTTGAGACACTCAATGACAAGTGAAACCTTTTGATTTTTCCCCACTTTCAATCCTAGTTACATTGGTCACTGGTATAAAGGTGAGTCTTCCTTGCATATTCCATCCTAACTGAAAAAAATTACTTCAGATACACTTTAGTAAAGGTGAAAGAATTCCCATCCCTGTGGATGTCCAAATATAGAATAAAGATGAAGTACACTTCCTACTTTGGAATAATACTACAACAAACGTATCTGTAAATGCTATTGCAGTTACTGATTCATTTATTAACAGCGAGGAGACAATAACAAGTGTCTCAGGTGTGCAGAAGCACTTACTATTGCATAACAAAGTATCTTAACAAAGCATTCGTAAGACCTCTTCTGTAATATGCAGTTCAGTTTTGGGCACCAGTTCACAAAAATGATGTTGTGAAGCTGGAGAAAGGCAACTAAACTGATCAGAGGCATGGAGGATATCAGCTACGAGGAAAGATTAGCTGAACTGAATTTGTTCTCTCTTGAGAAGATGTGATTAACGGGGGATATCATCACCATGTATAAATACATAAATGGTCCATATAGTGACCTTGGTGCCAAATTATTTACTTTAAGGTCACTGCGAAGGACAAAGGGGCACTCTTTGTGTCTAGAGGAAAAGCAGTTCAAATTTTGCATACATATTGGCTTCTTCATAGTTAGAGCTGTGAAAATGTGGAATGGGCTTCCTGAGGAGCTACGGTAGTTCTAGTTAGTTCAGGTAACTGTTTCAAAAAAATCTGCATTCATTCCTAAAATGGGAGAATATTACTAGATATTAACATTTTATAAGTAAAATAAACACTGGAGATTGTTGATCTGAGAAATAAACACCGGAGATTGTTGATCCGAGAAATATCCAATTGCTTTATGGGTCAGGAAAACATGTTTCTACTCCTTTGGAGCAAATTGAACCATGTTTTATAGTTTTTCGCCTTCCTGGTATAGGCTTCCTCGGGAGCTAGTTCTAGTTAGTTCAGTTAACCTCTCTGGCGGTATTCCCGAGTCTGGCTCGGGGTTAATTTTCAGTACCAAGATCGGTAACCCCAAGCCAGACTCGGGATTGCACAGAAAAGTGTCACTTACCTCGTCCCTGCGAGCACGCGGTGTCCTCTGCTGTATGCGGCCTGCCGATGCCGGCATCTGAGTTTTAGTTTCTTTTTCGGGTGTCACAGCGGGGGGCGGAGCCAGCGGGAAATTCAAAAGTGAAAACATGGCATTTACACAGAATACAATGTAATCTACTATGATTACACTTATGTATCAAACTATTTCACTTCAATTTTGTCCCTAGAGCTTTGTCCAATGCCCTGCCTGCACTTTTACTGTTCTTTCTGCCTGGAAACTTGTGAATGTCCATGGCATCCAAAAAGCGTCCCTTTAGGTCAAAAGCGGTTTTAGACCAGGTAGAGAACAGCGATAGTAAATTAGAATCACTTGCAGAATTGAGCTATAGCGATTCGTTGGGAAATTTGTCATCAGACCCTGAAAGTCGCTTTTGACCTAAAACAGCGACGATGCTGCGACCGAGCTCAGTGATGTGCGAACTTGGTACTCTATTAACTGTGGTATGGATCAGGCAGCGCCCCCAGAATTCCCATTTACTGGACCATTTTTTAAAATAATTATTAGGGATGTCCTGATACCGATGCTAGCATCGGAATCGGGCCCGATACAGGGCATTTTGACAAGTACTTGTACTTGTCAAAATCCCCCGATGCCTAGCGCCGAAGCTTGCGCTGGTTTTTTTTGTCCTACTTTACCTTCCGTGGGGGGGGTCCCCTGGGCAGGCTGAGCGGAGGAGCGTTGCGTCACTGCTATGGGCAGAGCTCCAGGTGGGGTCCTAATGTAGGTGGCCGGCGACTGCACAAAGGACTCCACCTGGAGCTCCGCCCACCGGAGCAGCAGTGACGCCATGCTCCTCTTCGCCGACAATGTCCTTCAGTGCTGGAGAGCACCGCCGAGTCAGCTCTGGTCCGGCGGGAGGAGTTCCAGGTAGGGTCCTAATTTAGCTGGCAGGCACCTCTGGGCCAGCTAAATTATAGGACCCCACCTGAAGCTCCTCCCACCCGACCAGCGCTGACTCGCCGCTTCTCTCCGGCACTGAAGGACATCGTCGCTGCTCTCCCGCACAGTCAGTAAGGGGGGGCTGGGGGGACTCACTATTAAGCAGGGAAAATTGCACATCTACACATCTATTGTCTCCATTGTATTAGCAGTGAGTACCCTATATGTAATACATATATAGAGTACACACCGCTTATACACTGGAGACTATAGATTTACAATTATATTCTGCTAACATGAATGGATTAAATGATCCATATGTAGCCCTGTACTATGGATCATTTGACCCATTCATGTTAGCAGAGTATAATTGTAAATCTATTGTTGCAGTGCACTCTATATGTATATGAACTATGTATAGTATGCACTGCAACAATAGATTTACAATTATCAACTCATATGAGGATTGGAAACTATTGTACCTCCTGACTTGTCTTTCTCAGGAAGATTCCTCCCCATCTGCTACGAGACTTAGGCCTGATTAAATCACATACTAGATACTCTAGCTAGACAAAACACAGAGACACCTCGGACCATCTTAAAACTCTGAGAAGAGCACCTTTGGAATGTGATATCCTCTAAACGTGGTGTCCTTGCTGGCTGCATATTCTTTACATACTGAGCAAATTTTGCTACATTTGAGAGCAGTATCGATGGGGGTTATGCTCCCCCACCACACAAGTATAGGGTAGAGCATTGCTTTTTTTAGACAACTCTACAGGCAGTGTTTTCTGAGAAAGTTTTATTGCAACTATGTGTATGCTGAAAGATAGAGGAGGGCTTTCTAATTAAGGAACAGTTCCAGGTAAAAAGTGAAGACATTCAGTGAAAGGCTATACTTTCCAAGATCATTTCTTTAGGATTTGATGGGAGTAATGTGCTCAAAAGAGTCTAAACCTTCCAAAGTGATAAATATTGAGTCTCTTGCCTTGTTAGGACTCCCGTTGTCACCACTGCTCAGTGCAGGGGCTTCCATTATTTGATGACTAGGTTATCTTTCTAGATGGAAGGGTGGCAGGATGGAGTTCATTCAGAGTGGTTGGTTTCAGTGGTTTGTAAGGAAAGTACGTTTAAAAAAAATAAAAAAATTTAATGACAGCCAAGTAGGGTTCGGTGAAAAACATTCAGTGATCTACTAATGTTATCCAGTAAACAGAGGAACTTTACTAATGCCATAAAATTCCCTCAATTTACCATAATCTGACTTCTTTGCAATTCACTCCAGCACACACAGCTTCATGGAGGGGCTGGAGCATACGTCTAGGAGTCTATTCTGTGTAACGTCCTCTCTTTGCTTCTAGCATCTCGAATCACTGAGGGCACTAGAATTAATGATTTTGATGGGTCCTTGCTAGCGACCTCTCTTGGTGACACCTAGCAATATTAGTTAGACAATGGTGTCCTTCCATAAACTGGCTAAATCAAGGACAGGTGGCAGGAATATAGTCCATACATTACTAGGGATTAGGGATGAGCTCTGATTCGGAATGAACCTGGTCCAAACCTGAGCTCTGGGGATTCCTTGCCTGCAGCTGCATGTAAAACATTGGGGCAGGACGCAGTAACGTAACTGACCTTACATGGCTAAATGGCTATATTAGTTAAATAGCATTTACCTGAAATAGCCATGTGGCTGTGCCCTGACCTGCAGCTGATTGGGTGGGAGGCTCATGTAGCTTTTATGTTAGATGGATCTCAGGTTTAGACCAGGTTCAGGCTGAACCTGAGCTCTTCCCTTCTAGCGATAATTGTTGTCAGCAATGGTTACCAAAGAGCAGCTGTGTAGGGAATTAACTTTTAACCTTAATCCTTCAGCTGTCTACTCAGTAGCTCACCAACATTTTTTACCATCAACTGATATTTGCCGGAGTATAAAATCCAAGGGCTATGGTGTAAACTCTTAGCACTCTCATCCCTTTTACAATCTCTGTCAGCATGTGCTGGACATTGTAGTTTAGTGGTCAATAAACAAAAAATATATTCTTTTAATTTTATATTATTGAATAATTGATAGTGCTCCTATGCACTATTACTCTATAAGCCTTAAACAAACTTCTTTAAACTGTGATTTTTTTTCTTTGCTGCATCACAGACCTGGAATGTCTTTTAGCTTAGCTTTTTTTAAGGCTCAGGAATACTGTATTAGGCATAGAGGGTTAAAATCAAACTGCTGGCCAGGATGACCAGAAACTCTGAAGGCAAATATCTATACACAGATAATGAGATACAAAGGAGATCAGTGACCAGCAGCAGCATGATTCCAGAGTATGACCTTGTGGAACTGACATCAGCTCTTCTGGAATGGAGACATCTGACAATTTCGTTAGTTGGGCCCCTTTCCCACCATTGGATCCCACACATGAGCTGCTATTGCTATAGTTACCCGACGGTCAATCACATTTAAATTTCCAAAACAGGTTTGAAACTATTTGGTGGCTGTGATGGGAATAAAATTTTTTGCACAGGTTTTCTGTATGTGCTTTATCAAGTAGTGTGTTCCGACATCATCAGGTGTTTCAGTATCACCAGATTGCAGGGAGTGTTGTTGACTGGTGCAGTGCAGCAATGTATAGATAAAAAACTGATTAGGGTCTTTACGGGCTTTGGGCTAGCATCAGTTTGAAATCAGAATTCACTCACATGTGCACAAAAGCCTGTTGACACACGCCCTAAAGCTGCTGGTTCGACGGAAGACTGCGACCGTACAGTAGAAACGGTTGCACGCCTTCCATACACTGCACGATTCTCGTACGAGAATCGCGGGAAATCCCGCGAACGTACGAGAATCGTGCAGTGTATGGAAGGCGTGCGACCGTTTCTACTGTACGGTCGCAGTCTTCCGTCGAACCAGCAGGCTAGAAAACCCGCCGGGAATTGTACGATTCTCGGCGAGTTAGTGGCCTGCTGGTTCGACAACTGCCGAACGGGCCGGTGTGCGCACGCGCACACAGCCCGTTTGCAGTCATCTTAAGCCCGCCCCTCATTGCAGTCATCGTAAACCCGCCCCTCAGGGGGGCCGGGCTTTCGATGATCAAGAGTACGATCTGCCTGTCCAAGATGGGCAGATCGTACGCTTTTTTAATCACTTTACAACCATCGCAAGACTAAGGTCTTGCGATGGTTGTAAAGTTTATGGCCACCTTTAGTCAGTAGGCAGTTATGCTCCCTGTATGCAACTCAAGGTTTAATTTTCAATTTAGACAGGAGTATACCCTTAATCAGAGAGTGACAAACATGCTTATTGTTCTGGTAGATAGAGATGGAGTTACCTTGTATCTCAGGGTATTTGAGTAGTATCAGGAAGCCATATGTCAGTGTTATACTTGTAGTCTCCGTCCCAGCAAAGAAAAGGTCATTTATTGTTCCTAATAAGTTATCATAATGGAATTCTGTTTTTGGGTCATTCTTTTCCTGAAAAATATTCAGAATAATTTTAGCAGCCTAATGGGACATAAAGCTATCACAATTCACACAAATTCAGCAAACATCTATTTTTATTTTTTTTTAGTTCTTTTTTTTTATAGCCAGTTTTCTGCATATTGGTGCACCATCAGAGTTAAAAGAAAGCCCTACCGCCACTTCTCGCAGGAGTTTGGACAGCTGGCATTTAGCACTGGACTTATCATGCACCTTTACTAGAACTCTCACATATTAATTACTGTACTGGCCAGGAATACCTTTTACAACCATGTTACATTATGTATCATTTGGCACTTCTGCATTGCTTACAAACCATGCATTAGAAAAGAGATCAGATTCTAGGCCAAATTTTGAAAACAAACTCACCTCTTCCATTTTCATGAGGAAGCAATCTATGAAGTCACGTGGGCAGTTCTCATCCAATGTCTCCTTGTGAGCTTTCACCATATCTTTCTGAAACTCTTTAATCTTTTCAAAATTCAGGAACATTTTCTGGTGGGGGCCAGGGACATGGCTCATTATGGTGGGGAACAGATTAAAAAGCTGAAATATATTTTTAAAAATCAAGGTGTTAAAACATGGGCAATTCATCTCCCTTTCGTTGTAAACATTGCATACCAATTTCATTTTCACCAAAACAAGTCTCTCATATTCAGTTTTCCTTTCACTAAAAGTAACCAAAAAGTAACCCTCTGTACTGGTCCTGATGACCATTGTCTACAGAGAGTTATGGGAAATGTAAAATATTTGAACTGTCACAGCAGTGAGGGGGAATGTTCCAATTGGGACAACTCTTCTAGTGATAACTGTCTAAGTGGGGTACTCCCTCACTTTGGCGAAATATCCTCTTACTTTCTGCTGTGTCCCTGGAATAGAAAGCGAAGGAGACTCTTTCCAATGAGAAACAAAAAAAAGGATCTTAACTATTCCCTATTCTATTGAAAACTATCTATGCTAGAAGCCATGGTTGTCATGCAGGCTGAACATGCCTGCCTTTGTTCATCTCCATTACATTAGTGGGATTATTAGTTTACACAAAAAAGAAAGGGATGTTTGTGCTTTCTTTTGAAGTGACAATGACACTGAATTTCTTGCAAGATCAACAAGTATTTTCTGTACTTGCTGAAAATGTTCTTATCCTGAAAAAAGAAAATGAATGCAGCCACCAAATCTAAGGATTTGTAAGCTGCAATAATTTTTTGTTATGCTTTAACCTCCCTGGCGGTATGATTCTTTTGATTTTCGTAATTTTTTCAGCGCAATTTTTTTAGTTTTTTATTAATCTCCCGCCGGTTCCGCCCCTGTGCGACGCGTACGCTCGCAAGGGATGGAACCTGGAAGACAGATGCCGGCCGGAGGACACCGCACAGCTCGAGGGACAAGGTAAGTAAATACTACGGGATATTCCCGAGTGTAGCTCAGGGTATGGAGAAGTAACCCCGAGCTACACTCGGGAATACCGCCAAGGAGGTTAAAGGGTTACATGAGTTCACTAAAGCATTGAGACTTCACAGCACTGAGTTTATTTTCAACACAAACATGCACCAGCTGCATGAAGATTGTATGTTATTTCTGCATCTATAGAATATGGCATTACAATAAACACACATACACACACACACACACATACATACAATCATGCAGTATGTATATGTATATATATATAAATATATATATATACATACATACATATAAATGTATTCACCTGGCCTAATCCTGAGTTCACCAGGATAATAAATTCTTGCAGAAGTGTCATAAGGGTCATGAATTTCTCATCTTCGTAGTCGAATCTTTCTCCAAATACAATAGAGCAGATAACATTGGAGACAGCCAGTCTTAGCAGATTAATGGGGTTAATCGGTTTATCTGTGATTACACAAACAGAAGCCATCAAAATTTTCATCCCAAACATCAGTATTCAGAAATCAACAAACCATTTTAGATGAGCGAGGATCTTGGCTAAATGCTAAGTGATCACACATTAGTCTGGCATAAACTAAGTGGGTTTTATGTGCTAAGCTTAGCAAAGTGCATTTTGACTTAGTTTAATGAATGAGATGTTACACCATGCTTTGAGAGACTTTATTGCTGCTTTTTCTATGTGTGTGTGAGTGTGTGTACTTTTTTTTTTTTTAGGCCTGCCCCCTCTTCAGAGGCTGCATGGTCACTTCTGTCATGGTAAATCCTTTTTCTAAGATGGCCATTTTTTTTAGTGAAGCTGAATTTGTATGCAGACTTCACCCACATGTGACTCTAAGCCTCCATGATTGAAATAACTGACGTCCAATGAACAAAAGGGCCGGGCAAAGAAAAATATATTTGGGAAGAAAAACAATTGATTATTCAGGATAGAAAATGGTAGGTCCCTCAGCACTCCTTACAGCGTTCCCGGCCCAAATTACAATGGTGGTGCTCGAAGTGCCGGTGATTCCTGCTTTCTACTGTTGATTATTCAGGATGTCTTCCAGATAGGAAATTAGGTGGACACTATCTAACTTGTTGAAGCTTCTAATGCTCATTGTGTGAAGCTCTTAGTGTGCATTGCAATCAGAGTAAGCAATTTTGGTAAGAAGAGGACCCTGTACGATTGTGCAATTTTGAAGTTGAGGCTGGAGCTCAGCTTTAAAGCTGAACTTTAGCACAGAAGAAATTCCTTTTTGAAATGCTTTAGTCATATACATTGTTAAGTACTTTGGCTTTCCATAATGTTTGATTATGTTTTTGAGAAAAAGCTGATATATTCACTGCCGCCCTAAAGAAAATTAATAGTTTAGATAAAAAGAATGGATACTCCTATGAAAAAGTGTGTTTAGGGTCATTCTTGTACTAATTCAGCATTATCTCTACCTGCCTTTGCTCTTCATAAATCTCTCTCGGAGACACCGAGCTTCCTCTTGGATTCTCTCCTCCACGCTCCTCTTCCCCATCCCAAAATTTCTCAGTGTCATCAGGGAAAAGCGACGCATTGTCTTCCATCTTTCTCCATTGCTCATGATGACCCCTAAAAACGTTGAAAGGGTTTATACATATTGCTCTTGAAGACTACTAAACATTCAACATTTTAAACAATAACTCCCTCTGTATTGCATTACCTAGTGTAAGAAATACTTGTCCTCATCAGGAATCCCACAAGCATCAGCATGGAGCATGTGTGTTCTCCCTGTCTTTGCATGGGTTTGCTGTGGGATAATTTAATTGCAGAGCTCCCAGTAAAGTGAACATATTCTCTGTTCTGAGTTCATAACGACAAACACAGCAAGCAGATTCACCTCCTGTGGTTGGATCCTCTTTTTGATCCAAGTTCCAAAATGTAGTGTTTTGGATTAATTGGCTCCCTAGTGAAGTTCCCATTTACTCACTATGCTCAGATACACTCGCAGGCCCCTTTAACTCAATTTCCCACATCTCCCAGGGGTTCCTGTACATGCCCATTGAGTATAAATGTATCAGCTTCCCTCAATTATCAGCTCCAGGAAGTAAAAGAGATAACTGCTCTTTTGGGGCACATGCTCCCATGTGTATTTAATGTGTTAGAGGTTTTCTACCTTTACTTTCTACTTTCTGTATAGATTGATCCAGATGCCATAGGCTCACCATATACAAACTAAACGTATCCCTGTATCAATGAAAGTTTTGACTTCTTTAAACTTGTTAAAAAATCTCTAAGTAATCCAGCCAATCTATCTCACTTAGTAGGTTGTGGTGGTAGCACTGGACAGATGATGGTAGGACTAGATTGCTTCTAAGTCATTTACCTTGTATGAGGTACACCCTCATGGGAAATGTGGTATATGGGACCCATTCCTGATACTGATGAGAATGCCATTCATCAGATGGATAAATACTGCTTGCGTAGTAAGGTGCGCCTATTGCATACAGCCATACAATTGAGTGATTTATTAAAGCATTTATTAGTTAGGGAAGTACTATACAGCCAATGCCAACAATAATAATCAGACTTTGGATAAGCTGGATTCACACTGACTCACACATGCTCACTTGGCTAGCTACTTCTTTACTGTCTTACCAGCATGTGTGGTGTCTTGGTGTCTGTGCATATGACCTCCCTTTCTCCCACATTAACAACACTGTAAGTGTGTTCCTTCTCCTGTAAGTGTGTTACTACACATAAATAATCAATTCGATCAGGTGGAATGGGTGCAAACGTGGTTCAGCATCATGATTAACTTGCTAGCAAAAAAGGAAGATTTGGTTTCACATGAGTGCTTCCATGTTAAAATGTTTAGGTTTGACTAGGGTGTGACTTTAATAAGACTTTGGCATTACAATGATTACAGTTTTAGTAATTAAAGTTATTAGTTTTAACTTGGTACTAGTTTAAATCCATCTAAATAATTGTAGCTGGTTCATAGGGTACAAGTGTATCTACAAGACACAAAAAGCAAGTTAGTATCTAATGAAAACATATGAAAATAATTGAGAATTATTATTTTGTTTTTAGTATCTTACCGAAATTCTTAAACAATAATTCTATTAGATCCGCTTCCCCTCTTTCACTGAACACATCGCTGCGATCAACCAGAGCCTCCTTCACAGCATCGTAGCCAGTCAACATGACCGCTCGATTGTTGGCCAGGTATACTGTATACACAGGTCCGTACTTTTCACTTAGCTGTTGATAGAGATTTGTGTTTTTAAAAAGAGTCGTACAGGTTCAAGAAGAGCTGGGACTGTAAGGATATGACCTAATGTTCTTATATCTAATAAATGTCTTGATTGGCAAGACTGGCCCATTGGTAAGATGACATTTCACCAAGAGCAAGGCATGGCGACACATCTTCCTGCTTACACTTTCATCAATAATGTGCCAGGATCTCAGTCCTTTTCACCTGTGAAGCCAATTTTGTGATTTATTACTGGCTGTGTGTGCTCCATCTCTTTTACTGTTTAGAAGGGAACGAACTGAGTGTACAAGTTTATGGAGCACTGTGCTATTTAGATATGCAGCTGCCCTGGTTCTGCACACATGACCAGCTATAACATCATCCATTTGAGGGCTTGAGTTTGGTGCAGAGCTGACATAAGAACACTGCAAACTGTTACAGTTATCTTCAGAGTCAGGCCTTGAATGTAGCATACACTGCACATGGGCAAGTAGGCAGAATGTAAATGAAAACACTGCTGAACAAAACATTATCATGTTTAATTAGGGATTTAACAACATTTATTGAACATATCTAGCATAACTTGAGCTTTCTTTTGGGAAACAGATAATTATGTGGTAGTTCCTCTGTAACCACAAGTGAGATCAGCATTTACATTCCTATGGATCGCTTTATAAAAAAAAAAAATGCATAGCAATGAAACTGCATATACATCCTTTCTGTGTGAATTAACCAGTATTCACTCATTAGTTTTAGGATTTTTTGCCCGATATATAAAGCTGTGACTGTTGTGGGAATGGAGCAAAATTGAATGTTCTTAATGTACTTTCTCTTCTGATTGAATGTTCTTTTGCTATTTCTCTTAGGATTGTATGGACTTAGTGTATTTTATCTAATGATTTAATGTTGCACCCAGTACTGCTTATGTTCAACAGAGAAATACATACAATAACATGTATAATAGTTATCACATTCTAATTACATTCAATTTTGACAAACGGATTGGTAAAATGAATGTTAGATTTGCCCTGCGAAAGACAACCTAAAAAGTAAAAATAACATTTTGCAAATATTAAAACATTCACAAGGTTTTTTTTTTTTTATAAATAGATCCCTTAAAGTGTATGTAAAGCCAAAACTTTATTTTATTTTTAGAGTAAGGAAAGGTTAAATCCTTTATCAAGTTACAGTATTTTTCGCTCTGTGCATCCCACTGGGGAGATCCACCTCCCTGTCCTGTAAACTTAACTTAAAATTAGAGGAAATCTCTCCAAAGAAAAGGGAATTCCCATATTGAAGAGTTTCCTCATTGAATGATTTTTCTCAACCTCTTGTGCTGGTGAGCTCAAACATTTTTAGATTTCCACTAGATTTAGATTTTTTCACAGTGACAATGGTCACCTGGACAAATAGAGAAGGTGAAGCTCCCCAGCGATGACAAAGACAATAATAGAAACTTGACAGAGGGTCTTTCTCTTCCACATTACATCCAAAACGTAAAAAATTGCCTTTGCAAACACTTTAATATTCCTCTGAAGAAGTGGACATTGGTCAAGTAAATTCATGAACTGTTGACTGGAATACCGCCAAATATATATATGGATTCACAATACATAATTATTTTCAAATTGTTGGAATATGTATCTAGATATATGTGACTTCTAATATTATGCATTGCTGGTTAATTTAATGTACAGGCAGTCCCTGAGTTACATACATCCGGAGGCTCCTACTACTTACAAACGGAGGCTATTACTGTACGGCAGGGGGTCCTAGACTGCAGCCAAATTGTACCGCGTAGCGTTCCAGTAGTTGTAATGCTACCGCGCTCGTGCCGACGAGGAGTGCCCGCTTTTTTGGGTCTGGTTTGTTGTACTGTACGTACATTACAGGAAGTTGGCTCTTGTTAGACATGCAGCCGAGGGGTGCCCGCCTCTTCATCCGGGTCACTGCAAGGTTGTTCCTGCTGTCTGTATCCTCATTAGAAAGATTTAATCTCACTTCCTGTCCTTGGGACAAAAGAAAGTGAAAGGAAATCTACCCCTAGGAAGGGAAATTCACTCCTGTAATAGTCATCATGGGAAAATCACCAATCCTTGTTTCCAGGACAACCCAAAATGTTCAAAATCCAATTGTCACAGGGGCAGGAAGTGAGGTGAAATCTTCTGAACAGGGCCACACACAGCAAAACAAACTTTACAGTGGGTAAACCCTTCCCTATGCTATCCAAAACAAAACAAAACATTTTTGGCTGGAGTTACACTTAAAAAATGTACCTGTTCCAACTTACATACAAAATCAACTTAAGAACAAACCTACAGTCCCTATCTTGTTCGTAACCCAGGGACTGCCTGTATTGGGAGCTAAGGAAAACACTTCAAAAAGATATCTCATATATCAGGTGATTAAAATTTTTTCTTGTTATATAGAATTATTTAAAAAAAGAGATTGTTTTTAAATATAAGTTAGAATTGTGTGTATATTAAGAGGCCAATAAATCCCCCTAATGTGTATGCAACATGCAGTATAAATCTTATATTGCAGACTGTTTTTTGGTCACCCAATTTACCCCAAAACCGAGGGAAGTGTATTATACACAGGTAATTGAGACCAAGGTTGTATCATCTCACACCCCTTCCCCCTTGCTTTCTTTTCTGTGTCTCCCTATTGGCAACTTGATTTTATAAGTTAGGGTCCTCATTGGCCATTAAGGGGGTGTGCTGATAAGGGATTTCACAGGAACCTGGAGAAGCAGCCTAGCACCAAGATCATCATTTTTGAGGCCTGCTTAAACTATGGGAATGTTTTTTGCTTATTCTTAGAGTTTTCACCATTATTTTTATATAAATGTGACTCACAAGCTGGAAAATATTTCAGACTAGTTTGTACCATTTCCTGACATTATCAAAGATTTCTTCTAATACAAAACATTGTTTTAGAATAGTCAGCTTAATTATTCTTACCTTCACCAGAGACTGTGGCAGTTCAGTGGTACTAATCTGCATTATATTCCCCAGAAGTGGCAGAGGGGTGGGCCCTGGTGGCAAGTCTTTCTTCTTTACATTCCTCCACCATTTAATGAGGTAAATCAGGAGAGTGACCCCAGAAGCGAGGAGAAGTGTCGCTGCGACATTCACCGCCATCTCGACAGTAATCTTTCTGTACTGTCTTCAAGCCACGATCTGCTGTATTTATGTGTCAAGTGAAGCTTGGCATAATTCCAACTATCGCATGAGCACTGAGGACAGGTAGAGTGTATCGGAGTTTAGTCCAGTTACAGGCATATTGCACAACAGATGATAAAGCTGTCCTAATCATTACTTACCCTGCACGTTTTTAAATATCTTGTTACAACAATATCTATGCAATAAACTGTACAGGGAAGGAAATACCTTTCATGTTGTATTGTTCAGGAATAGACCAGCATGGAAGGGATGAAAAGATCAATAAAAGTATTTAGAATTAATTTTTATTCTCATGCGCTTTAAACAACAATTTTATCTTTATCAAAATGTATGTCTACCTGAAGCTCCTTTGCATTTCACCCAAAGCCATCTCAGTATCCCATTGACTACACCTACAGTATATAATCACATAGAAAGGATGTGTACAAGAACAGAGTCCTGTTTGAGACTCTACAAAGTACAGAGAATGATATCTGTACAACATTTTGCCATTATCCCATCAGTTTCCATCCTGCTAACCAGCCAACAAGTAACTCCCATTGTCCCTTCCATCATCAGTTCCTGCTCCTCATTCCTCTTCATCTTTGTCTCCATTCCGTGATCCTTATCGGCTTCCCTTCCTTCAATGTTTAGCCACCATTGTCTGCTTCATCATTAATTCCTGCCAGCCATTCCTCTTCATCTTTGCCTCCATTTCCAGTTCCCATGCCGCTCCCCACCATCACTCTATTTTTTTTTATCTATCACTCTATTTTTAAGAAACCATATTCAAGTAAAGGTGTGCACACATGTGTAAATGTAGCATTGAATACTGGAGCAATTGGTATAATGTATTCACTTTAAAGGAGAACTATGGGGTCAGTGTGTTTCCCCATAGTTCTCCTTAGGGTAACGGGAGGACACAAACTAGCGTCCTCCCGTTACCCTAAGCTCAGTATACCGCGAGCTACAGCTCACGGTATACTGAGACGCCGCAGCCAGAGCGGATCCCGACATGGACGTCGAGATCCGCCCAGCTGCGTGAGTGACAGCTGGCTCTGCCTATCTAGAGGCATAGCCAGCTGTACCCGCCCCCTCCCCCAGTCACGCCAGTCAGCACTAGCAGATCGGAGCGGGGAGAGGGGAATCCAGCCCCTCCCCCTGTCACGGCAGAGAGCCGTGACAGGATCGAGAGGTGAGCGAACCCGGTATGTGTTCGCTCACCTCCCGATCTACTGAGCCGACCTGTGACAGTCTCATTGTCACAGGTCGGCTAGAACTATGAGGTGAGTGGAAATCACTCATCTCATAGTTCTCCTTTAAATCAGTTCTGCTGAAATCAGATTGAAAGGGTAGTAATCAAACAGGTCAAACAAAAATGTTATTTTATTGTGTGTTGTTTTGATTTTTTTCCATTTCATCTTTTTGTCATAAAAAGTAATGTAGTATTATAGTGACTCCCCCATAAAAACTTTTTATGCTAAAAAAAACTATTTTGATATCACAGGAAGTAATGTGATGTCAGACATTATTGTGACCTCACAGTCAATGTATTATATTGTTGTAGATATTGTGAGTTCATACATAGCATTGTAGCATATCACATTCAATATTATGATGGATAACTGAATAAACTGAAGAGAGAAGCTGATTGGTTGCCATGCACAACTGCTCCAGGATTTGTCTGCTCCAGTTTTGATAAATTTCCCCCACTGTATGTTCCTGAGAAGGAGGTGGAGATCAACCTCAAAACACGTCCAATATTATATTAAAAAGTGTACCCTTTGGTGGAGGCCTTCCACTTACAAAATCTCTATCAGTCTCTTATCAGTTCTTATTTACTGACCATTTTTAAACAACCCTTGAGGGAAAGACATTCTGCCAAGGGATCTTAGGCATCTGCCATGATAATTTATACCAAAGTAACAAGTGCGGAGTATCAGGGGGCAGGGGAGGGGTACACATAATAACATATTATTGGGGTACAGGAAATATTAGCAGTGCAGAGTGTCAGGGTGCAGGGGAGGCGGTTACACATTGTTGGGGTAGGGGGGTGCAATACTTGCCTTGCCCCTGGCGCTGACAAACCACGCTACGCCACTGCTTATATGATAAGAGATCATTCAGTATTTGGACTGGAAATCATCTGTTTTTTTAATATAATGGTGTCATAATATTATTATTAGAATGGCACACAGTAAAATAAAAAGTGCAATTTGTGCCATCTGTTTTTACAAATGTTAAGGTAGGGGGTTGCAAGTAGCTGGTCTTGCCTAGGGTGCAAAGTAGTCCTGACTACAAAATGCCCCTCCCCCTCATGTAATGGATAAGAGGAAAGGGGTAGAGTTTCTGTAGTCCTGACACATTTCTTGTCTTAGGGTGAATAAAGACATATGTCCATCAAGTCCAACCTATTTGTGTATGTGTGTACGGTCCTAATGGTGTGTAGTATGTCTAGGTCCCTGTGTGTTCTCAATCTTAAGAGTACTTGTACCCCTGTATATTACGGTCCCTGAGGAAATCGTCCAATCGCCTCTTGAATGATTCCACACTCTCAGCCGAAATCACAGTATGTGGCAGCGAGTTCCAGACCTTGACTGATCTAACTGAGAAGAAACCCCTTCGCCCCTTGTGCTGAAATTTTTTCTGGCCTCTCGTCCTTGTCATGGAGTTAATTGTAAAAAGTTTGTTGCTAATGTTACTATCCCCGGTAAACATTTTATACATTAAAATCATGTCCATCCTTTATCTCCGTTCTTCCAAGTAGAATATGTTTAATTTTAGGAGCCTGTTCACATAGCTCAGGTCCTCCATCCCCTTTATGAGTTTGGTTGCCCTCCTCTGGACTCTTTCCAGTTCAAGGACATCCACTCTGTTCACTGGTGCCCAAAACTGGACCGCGTACTCTAGATGAGGTTGAACCAATGATCTATAAAGTGGCACAATTACGGACTTGTCCCTACAAAACATTCCCCTCTTAATACAGGACAGGATCCTACTTGCTTTGTTTACCGCAGCCTGACACTGCAAGCTATTATTCAGCTTGTGGTCTATAATGACCCCCAGATCTGTTTCCCTTTCAGACTTCCCCAGGGGTGCTCCCATTAGTGTGTAATCTGTTTTCTTGTTTTTAACCCCAAAGTGCACAACTCTACATTTATCTACATTAAACCTCATCTGCCATGTAGTTGCCCACTCCCCTATTTTATCCAGGTCCTCCTGTAATGTTATTGCGTCTGATTCAGTGACTATTCCCCTCCTAATTTTGCTATCACCAGCAAACACTGAAACATGGCTGTTTACCCCCTCCCCAATATCGTTAATGAATAGGTTAAACAGCATGGAGCCAAGCACAGACCCCTGCGGCCCACCGCTTATGACCCTAGCCCAATCCGAGAAGGTGCCATTTATCGATATTCTTTGTACCTGTTCCTGTAGCCAGTTCTCTATCCATGTACACATTAATTCATCTATGCCCATAGACCTCAGCTTGTATAGTAAATGTTTATGTGGTACTGTATCAAATGCTTTAGCAAAGTACAAGTATACCACATCGACCGGCCTCCCTCCATCCAGATCTCTACTTACCTCTTCGTAAAAGGTTAGCAGGTTAGTCTGACAGGAACAGTCTTTCCTAAATCCATGCTGGTTGTCGTTTACTATATCATTATCCCGAACAAATTCTAATAAGTGGTCCTTAACCTCTTGCCGTCCGCCCGTAGTAGAAAAACGGACGGACGGCACTGCAGCATCTGCGGGTTGCCGTCTCCAGACGGCAATTTTTTTCTGCTCGATTGAGCATTGTTGTCCTAGGACAGGAAGTGTGCTATTGGCAGGACCACTAGGTGAAAATTACAGTAAAAAAAGAAAACAAATGCAGCCGTCACATCTAAGAACTGGTAAGCTGTAATATATAAAATTTTTGTTCTTGGGTTTAGATACACTTTAAGGTAGGTATATTTCACAGAAGGACATGGTCCGAAGCTGCCTTCACGTACATTTACTATTACAAACTATACATAGAAGAAAGGCTATACAAGGTTTTAATATAGTTTATGTCAAGCTTATCTCTTTTACATGTATATCTAAAAAAAATATTAGAAAGGACTAAAAATTCTGTTTTTGCTTCTAAGCCTTCCTGTATAAAATACCACTATTTACACCCAGCTCACCTATACTCAGTTCACTTCTACCATTTACACCCAGCTCACCTAAACTCAGTTCACTCTCCTAACCTCTACCATTTACTCTCTCCTAACCTATAATCAGTTCACTTCCACTATTTACACCCAGCTCACTAGGGTTGCCACCTTTTCTTCAAGCGAAACCCGAACACTTTAGAGACGCGCAGACAATTTTTGGGGAAAATGGCTTATTCATATCTAAATAGCGCCACCCATTCATATGCAAATATTACAGGTGAGACTATTTTCAGTGGGGGGCCAGTAGCCCCTATGTTAATTTTGGTTGCCCCTGTCTGTCTGACATCTTGGGGGTGATTTACTAACCTAAACACACGCACGCACTAGGTGCGTGTGATTTTTACACAGCAAAACGTATTTATCAACCAAAAAGTCTCTAAAAGCATATTTCCACTAATGCCATATATGGAAAAATCATGCACATGATGCATATATAATGCTGCTTCACAGTTTAGACAAAAATGGTTAGCTCATGCATTTACATTCCTGCATTCATCAACGCAAGCAACACAACATAGAGCTAAAACTAAACAATAAAGTCACGTGTTTTGACATAACGTACGTAGGGCAGAGCTCCTGATGTCACCACGCTGAGCCGGACGAACAGTTTTCTTATCACTTTGCTGCCACTTTGCTGCCATCATACCTGCTGGTATGATCCAGCAATACCCAATGCCTGTACTGTTTACATCATTGTGAGTACGCATTTTTTATATAATAAATTGCATTTTATTGGACGTTACGCACACATGAAACCCGAGCATTCAAAACCCGAAC